GATGATATAGTGGATCATTAATGGATACGAGTTAATGGATCAGTCATGGATAGTTGGATGATCTAAGGATTAAGGTCTGGTGTATTTGTAGCACAACAGGATTTAAGATACCCAGAAAGCAGAGGGAAGATGTGTTTCACACCTGGCGATGGCTGATAGGGGATGGACATGTTCTTCATTGCAGTCGTGATGGGAACATCTTGGAATCCAAAAGACCTCAATTCATTGACCATTTGTCAGTACAATTTGACCAATTTGTCAGTACATCAACCATTTGTCCATTGCGTCATAATCAACGCTAGCAGAGAGATGAATCTTGAACTGATTCGTTGTGTCTTTTGTACCAATGGAGGAACAGTATTGGGAGGGTTGACCAATGCCAGTTGTGCCAGCAACGAACTCGGAGACCAACAAACGCCGGAGAAAACGGATGTGGGCGAAACTGATGGCTGTGACTGTCACCAAATCGAACCTCCAAAAACCGCTCTCGAGGCCGTACCAGTGTGGTCGTCGGAGCAGTTTGCCACAGCCTTGAAGGAGGCTGGTGCAAATGTGATCTTGGACGTGCGCAAAGGGATGACGTGCCTTGAAAAAAAACCAACGTCGTGGCGTCGTGGCGTTGCGCTGCCAGATTGGGTGTCAAAACAGCATGCGGTTTGAGTGGTTTGATGTTCGCATTCCAAAACGGCTTTGAAATGGTTTGAACATCCGGAAAAATGGAGAGCTTGAAACCACAGGTTCCCTCTTTGATGGCCGAAGTTCCTCAAAGCGAGCCAAGGCACACTTACCCGGTGGTGGAGGGACCTATGAGGCAGGGACATCCATGGGAATCCCCGCATGTCCAGAGAGGATCCAGTTTTTGTTCTCAGGCGGCATGATCCGCAGGTGGAGCATCTTGGTGCGAAAATCATGGAGATCCTGGTGGGTTTGAAGGTTTCCATTGGATTTTCCACAAATTTAGGTATATAAGGCAAGTGAAAAAAGTGTTTTTTCACTGGATTTTCCATATGGATTTTCCAAATGTCAAGTGACTCAAATGACATATGCGCACCGTATCCACTGCACTGGGGCTGTGAGTCTTCTCTGCGGTGATCGAATCCAGAGGGTACAGAGGGTACGTATTGGGCCACTCTTGAACGCACAAGCATTCCGAATTAGAATGGAACAAAATCGACAAATGTCAAGTTTTACATCAATACATTATATATACATAGTATTATATATATATATGAGTGTGTGTGTGTATAGTATATATCCCAATTATATCTCAACTAGATACCACAAAAATATCCCCAGCATTGGCATTTTCACAAGAAATCTCCGCATCCCAGGTTGGTCCTTCCCATGCTACTGGGTGCTGGTGCCGAGAAACGTATCTCCGACCAAGCACCCCTGCGACTTGGTGATGGTTGGGACCAGATGGGGAACGAAATTATACCCTCTGGTAAACATACAAAAAGCTATTGAAAATGGCCATTTGTAGTGAGTTTTCCCATTAAAAATTGTGATTTTCCATAGTTATGTTAGTTTACCAGAGGGTACACATTCAGAAGTTAGGTGTTTTATTAATTGGGTGTATAATGGTGTATAGAAAATAAAACCCATGATGCTCGGTTGATGGTTTTACACATCGCTGATGTGTTTGTTTATAACAGAGAATTGGATTTTTTGGATTTTACGCACGAAGAATCCTGATCCAAGTGGATGAACTCGCCCTGGGATGAGCAGTTCACCCAGAAATGCAGCTTTCATCAACTGGGGGAGAATTCGCTTCTAAATCGGAAACTCATCATATTTTCCATCAGAAAATATCATGTTTATTTATATTTATCATATCTTTGTTGGTATTTTCCATTTTCAGCATCTTTCTGCCTTTTTTTCAAGGCCCCCCATGGCTCCCCTGCGGATCTTGGACGTGGCCGGCCTTATTTCGCCCTTCTGAGCGCAGGATCAGGTCGCAGAAATCTCTCCGGCGAAACCTTTATGGAACTGCTGGTCAGTTTTTCAGCTCTGGTTCTGTCAATTTGGGTCTGTATCCATGGGGTATCTCCATGCCATCTGGTGAATCGGTCCCTAATTGTCCTGATGAAATTGGCAGGGGACACCACAACCACAAACAAACCCATTTTGCGGATCGTTTTGAGGCGTTTGCTGCGGCGTGGGCCCGGTGAAGTGTCTTGAGGTCGACTGGGTTGTGGACGATTCTTGATCTATGCTTCAATGTCAAAAGGATCCATTGAAAAGCCACACACCAGTCTTCCTCGATCTTCCAGATACATTATTCCCGTTTCTCACAAGGAGAGGGATGAAGCAGAAGGCTTCTGACTGCTAAGCAGCCAATTCGTAATGTGCGCAGCGGCAACCCGTTCCCCGTTGAGCTCAGTTGCAGCCAGGGAAAAAACCTGCGCACTGGAGATCCAGTGGTTTCCAGAGATCCATTTATTGTGTCAATGCGAAGTTTCCTATTGATATCTATTGATCATTATTGGCTGTGTCTGAAAATAGGGTACCCCTAAACCCAATGGTTAATGATCATTATCCCTATTAAATGGCTATAATTGGGAATATACCCTATTTTCAGACAAACCCATCTATTGATCATTATTAGCTGAAAGACAGCGATGTCCCAGCTTGTTTACCATCTTGTTTACCATGAATTTCAGCCGCATCCGCAGCCACTGTTTTCCATTGGCAGACAGCACCCCAGAGCATCACATAACGTTTTGTGTCGCTGGAAGGTCATAGCAGACACATTTGTAGATCATGACCATCGATCATCCAGAAGTCTGAAGATGTCTACAAATTAAATCAGAATTTTTCAAAACCAATCTGGTTGAAGTGATTTTATCATATTTTATCATATTTAATATATATATATATTATATCCACACTATCCGCTAAAAAGTATCACCCTTCCAGGGCTTGAAGAGACTGGGCCAGTAGCCCCACCAAACACCACATCCACAGCTCCGAACTTGTCCCGATTCTCCCAGTGCCTGGGCCAATGGCGTCCAAGCAGGCGCCAGAAATATCTTCCAGAGATAACCCAAGTTTTCTGGGTGCACCCTTTCTGTTTGGTGTTTTCAAACACATATATACACTATAAATATAAATATACATATACCATTATATATATATGTATATCTTCCGTCACTGGATGCCAGGCCTCTTCAAGGCTTCGCAAAGAGATCAAGGTCGCTCGAACTGCCTGCAAGGGTTGGTGGATCATCTTTGGGATCCCCGTTTGATGGGAAACCCCCCAGCAAGAAAATGACATGATGACATGACTTCCTGGAACCACGTGTCACTCAAAATGACCCAAATGGATGGTTTCAAGTCTTTCAAAACAGCCATTTGCTGATCCATTTGCTGATTCAAGCTATCCAGTTATCCCAAAAAAAAACCAAAAACCATGGGATTTTTGTTATTTTTTTCTATCCATTTTCGCCATCTGTCGGATGGTAAAAATCGGATTCACCGGATCTCCCAGGCCATAGGAGAGGATCCGCCGCCGCACATCCACGTCTCGGTGGAGGAGGTCACAACAACACAGATCTTTTGATGGAGAAATAGCCTATGTTTGGATCTATTTTCTGGGAATTCTAGTGTGAATTTTAATATGTGTGAATTATATTGAATTATAGTGTTTTTCCTACTTTTTGGAAAAAACACCGGCTTTCTTTCACTGAAATGCCATGTTTCCGCAAAACTTGACGCAGTGGGAAACATGTCCTTTGGAATTTTGCACGTGTAACCGGTTCAAGCTGTGTCAGTCGAACATCCTGGAGTGGCACTATGTTTTGGAGGGCCCAAAGGACTGGGGTTCCCCATGGAAACCTCAGCAGCCTGGACACAGGTTTGGCAAGTTTCCAGGGGAGGTCGAGATTCCCATCCATTTACGGTTTGGAGTTAGAAATCAACCAGCAATCTGCGGTTTGGGTTTTGGACAATGTTGCACTGATTCAGGAGACACCTTACGAGGGTGGATGGTCATGGACCTGGATGCCTCAAACCGGTGACTGCTTAGACTGTTTAGACTGCTTAGAACCAGGAACTCTTTTGTGATATCAGTTGATGTGATGTGATATGATATGATATGATGATATGATATGATGATATGATGTGATGTGATATGATGATATGATGATATGATGATATGATAGATATGTTTGAATGCTGTGTGTTGTCCGATGAGAACTCTGAGGTACTGGGGCAGACTGAGATTTCCCAAGGACTATCCCTTCAGACCGCCATCCATTTTGATGGTGGAACTCCTCAGTGGGGGCGTTGGCCAAGGATTCCAAATCCCCATTTGATCCCCTACCATTTCTAAAGGCGCCATGAAACAAATGCATTATACATGATGAAACGGTTCGGTTCTGCGGTTCTCGGTTCATTTTTGAAACGGTTCCACGGGTTCCAATTGTTTTATTTTTGCGGTTCAGTTCGGTTCAGTTTTAAATGTAACTTTTCATTTATTTGGGGTTGATATGTTTAGAATTTTAGAACATTTTAGAACTATACCATTGTAAACTTCTCTGGGGTTTCGCGGTGGTGACCACTCCGCCTTGATGTGGTGATCAAAATTGGTAGTGACCCTTCTTGGTAGCCTTGGTGGTGACCCCCGTCCTGATAACAAAATCTCTCTAAAATCATTTCAAAATTTCGTGAAGTATTTTCACTTCGGCAATCCAATCAATTCCCAAAGCTTCAGGATGGGTCTCTATGGTTTCCTCAAATTGAATCCACGGCGAAAATGGCCGCGAGGTCACGCCCAATGGCCGCTTTGAAACCAACACCCGGCTGTGTTTGTCGATGCCTGGTGGCTGAGAGAAGGGATTCGCTGGTCATGGGATCTTACAGCAGGTGCCATTTCTTTGGTATGTCATTGGTATGTGAGAACAATTATCTCCCAATCCCAATTTTGGTGTGATTTTTTTTGGTGTTTCAACATCCCCAAAACCTTGACCAGAGCGTTTTGGCTCCTCACCGTAAAAACCATGGCATCGCAACGACGTCTGCTGCCCCTGCTGCTGGCTGCGGCCATCTGTGCGCCCGCCTTCGTTGGAACTCGTGGGACTGCGCCCACGACGCCGAGCCGCATCGCCAGGAGGGCGGAGAACTTCATCCCATTGGATGCCATTGAACCAGCGGTGACTTCATATGTCACTTGGCAATACTTGGGCCACATGTTTTGGAAATCTTGGGAGTTTCAAAATGTTGAGATGATAACTATTCCCAAAGATCAACCTTTGCCCGACAGATAAATGTTAAAATGTTCATTTTCCGAAGATTTTCCAGGTGAACATCTGGACCCCACTCTTCAAATCGGCGCAAGAGAGTGGTTTAGCTCCAGAGTTCCTGATCCATTGGGGCCATGCAGGGGCCATGGCCACCGTGCTGCTGGCCATGGGTGGCTACGGCACCTTCCTGGGATGGTCCACCCGGCTGGGCAACGGCAGCGCGGTGTATCCGCTGAGTTTGGGACAGACCGCGGCGGCGCTGCATCCGCAACTCATGGGGCTGGCGCTGTTTCTGTTCTTCCTGGGAGGGCAAGGAGGTGGGAGATCAAGTTAGATAATGTTAGATAAACATAGATCAACTATATCGGATATGAGTGGGGACAGTGGGGATGGGATGATTTTGGGTTAAAAAAAATGATTCTGGTGGAAATGTGAGTTGAAATGCAAGGAGAAAGTGGCGGTCGCAGTTGGATCTAGGTGTGAAAAGATAGGCTACACATCCGACCCGGCCAGGCCTGGTGCTTTTGGCCACACAGGGGCAACCCATTTTGCAATCCGCCCATTCCTCCACTGCAGTGATTGGCTTGGGACTCATGGCTGTTCAGGTGGGAGTCAACGAGTGAAAAGTTACTGTTGGGATGTGGGTCCTGGAACGCCTTCCCAAACGAGTCATGTTTCTTTGCCTGTGGGTCCTGGAACGCCTTCCCAAAAGAGTCATGTTTCTTTGCCTTTTTAGATTTTTGGATGCAGTTTTATCATGGTTTTATCATGGTTTTATGTATTCTTTGATCCAACAAAACATGACAAGATTGACAGCCTGGCAGTGTCCACCAGAGGCCGCCTTGGGTGTGACCATGGGTGACTCCTCTGAGAAACGAACCATCCATGCAGTGCTGGGCACTTCGGTGATGTTGGTCTTGTTGCTCCATCTCTTCTATGGCCTCAATCTGGGCTTCAGCATTTGATGCGCCACCCAGGATGTGACTCATGTTGAGATCTAATATACCTTCATGATGCGGAAAAAACAATGAAAATCCTGGATGTCCCAAGATGTTTTGATGACAACTTTTGAATTTGTAATCATCCAAATTGACAACCAGTTTGGAGTTGAGCAAGAAACAACTGCGGTTAAGCCATTTTCGCAGTACTTGGGACTTGGGACATCGAATTCTTTGTGTTCTTTGGCCTCCTTGTGGAGTGCTGTTTCCTCGACGGTACACGACTTTTCAGCTGACCGGTGCAATGCCTAGCAGCTCACCTCGCTTCTGACTTCGGAAGAAAAAAAAAACTGCGAAATCCATCACTTTACATCGACGATTTGGGAAAAATCCATGAATATATATAGATATATATATATATATATAGTACTTATAGTATGAATATAGATATGTATATCCAATTTTCACAGCAAATTACCCAATGGCATCACCTGGCATGACGCCCCGAGGTCGGATTATCATCCAGAGACTTGGCAGCCGGCCTGGTCGGTGGCCACGGTCTTGAAAGGATTGCTGTCCTTCATGTGCGAGGCGCAACTTGTTACGGTGGAGATATGGGCAAGGGGCAAAACAACATGGAGATTTGTCCAATTTGAAAGATACCATAATTACTATATAGATTTATATTGATATATATATATATACACTATCTCCAAAACAACATCGAACTTAGTGATATGGAACTTAGTTGTGGTGACATATCGCTTTTGACATATCATTGACAAGAAATCAGTGATGTTTGTCCAATTTGAAAGAACTGTGTAGATGTTTGTCTTTGTCAAAAGTGATATGGAACTGAGTTGTGATGAAAGTTGTACATCAATCTGAGATGCCAGCACACTGATCATGGATTGAAAAAGGTAGTGAATACGCAGACCCTGCACCATATGTCCATTGATTTTTGTAGATCCAGAGATCATGGTGGATTTTACATGTCCACGTTTGAAAGTCTATCAGAGTTATGGTATCACCAACAAGAACAGATTAATATCATCCACAAAAACGTCCCTAATTATCAGAGTTTTGTCATGAATGATATCATGATGACACATCATGAATCACCATCATATCCAACTACCTATCCCAATATCCAAGATTTTTTCTACATACTGAAGGGATATTTTACTCATTTATGGGAAGAAAAAACCCATTCTAATCAATAATCTATAGCCACATGATATCCAGGAGACCCCTACGGCTGGCGCCATCCATCCGCCTCCGCCCAGTGAAGTGAGGCGTGGGATATGTCATTTGATGTATAGGTCAATACTGGAAATGATGGGATATATGATGGGATATATGTTGGGATATATGATGGGATATATGTTGGGATATATGATGGGATATATGTTGGGATATATGATGGGATATATGTTGGGATATATGATGGGATATATGTTGGGATATATGTTGGGATATAATGGAATATATTTGGAATATAGTGGGATATCATGTGACCAAAAATGGTGATGCTTGCACATAAATGCTGATGATTGGAGAACATATGTGGTATAAATTGCGGAAATCCAGAATTTGAAGATGTTTCGGAAATTTAAATTTGGTGGTGAACTGCCGGGGTTTGTCCCAAAGTCAAACCAACAGACGCTGCAATCCGAAATGGAACAGAAATGTGCCTCATGGAATTCTCTTCGTGGTACACAGGGATCCCAATTCATAGATTCAGATCCAATCCACCGTCGTTTCTAAGATCTTCGGCGCCGCCAGGATCGATCTGGCCACCAAGTCCATCGCATGGAATCAGGCGCCGGATGTGTGTACCAAGAAATGCTACACCTGGGAGTTTTTGGCGAAACCTCTGGTGGGGGACAGGAATTTTGACCCGGATTACTGTGGAACAGAAGCGCGACGGCGAGGCGCAAGCTGAGTTCAAGCGAGTCTTTCCCACGGTGCCACCAGCATGTTTGCGGTGTTCTCCCTGGTCGCAAGTGGGATGCAACAGGGGTTGACATGACATGTTCACTCGATGCCTTACTGATCCTTGAATCCTTCATGGCATGGGTGATAAAATCCGATAAACTCCGTTTCCCCATCTGAATGACCACAAGTTTGGGATAAGCCCCAGATTTTGGACAAACTCAGTTTCTGTCCACCTGGCAGTTTGATGAGATCGTTGCGCAGTCTCAAGCATGGCCCTCAGCTGGGGGGATGGTTTTACACTTGTTGTGAGTTGATTCTAGCGGAAAGTGTCAGTGATCTCGAATGAGTTATAATAGTTATAACATGTAAAAAAACTTGGTGCAAACACAAACAGTCTTTATTTTGTTCCATCTATAAGTCCCCCCATCACAGCATCACAGGTGGACGTGGCGCCGAAGGTGATCTCAGAGGGATACCAAGCCGTGCAGGTCGCCAAAAATAGCTCTGTTGATGCCTTTAGAACGATTCTTGGGATGTGGGGTTTATGGGGTTTATACTAGCTTATGTACTGGCTGATTGGGGATGATTATGACCTGAGAATAAAAAAATCTTTAGCAACCAGTATAATGGAAGGGGATGGGGGTATTCTTCATGGCTCACATGGGAATCTGAGAAAATGATGAAACATGAAGAAAAACATTGGAAAGCAGATTCTTCATCCCCACATGAGAAAGAAACAGATCAATAATTTTCGGAAAAAGATGGACAAAGTCTTAGAACGTGTCGAAGTTTCACCAAAAAAAAGGGAAACACAACTGAAGCGATCGTCAAATCGGCCAGGTCGCAGCCGCACCGACTCCAGAGGACTTAGATCGTTTACACCAATTGAAAATATCTTCCCCATCTCTTGGGGTTTCTCCAAAATTGATATCTCTAAAAGCCACTGATTGGGTGATCAATGAGATGGGGAAGATGTTTTCAAACCCGGGTGGTCACTGAAACTGAAGCAACTCACTAGTCACCGTGAGTTCCAATTGCAAAAGGTCCTTGGATAAACTGGTTTCTGTTGCAGAAATCACCCTAGCATATCAGATTGTAAGTTCCAACTTTGCACCCTTCATCTACTTAGTAGGTACATTGAATTGTCGCTCCAATTCCAACAGATTCAAGAACTGTTTCAGATAGATCAGATCCCAATTGGTTCCCGCAGCCCTGCAGCTCAATTAGTTCGGCGCCATGGAAGTGAGCCGCAACCGCAGCGGCTTAGCAGAACCGGCCACGATGTCTTTGGGATTGGTTTACCAATGAAGCCATGGGATCTTTCCATCAAAATCAGAGAATCCCATGATAATCCCATGATATTCCGCATCAAAATCGGCAAAATCCCCAAAAATCGACTCTGGAAATCTGGATGTTTCACTCGCGGTTTTTTCTCCAAAAAGATGATCGGATTTCCAACCACTGGCACCACGAAACATCCAACAGCTTCACCCAAGGCTGGCGTCCTCCTGTCCCGCGCCGAGACCGATACAGCTGTCATCAAAGCAAGATGTGCTTCTCCGAAGTCAAGAAATTCAAATAGCCAGTTTCAATTTTGAACCACTACTTTACAATGACTCATTGGTACTTATTGAAGATTATATGAAAACATGTATGATATATAAAAATTACATACAAAATATATGAATCATATTATATGAACATTGATATCCCGGATATCCCATTCAGATTCCATCTTCTCAAATGGAGATTTTCGAGGCCAATGCGACGACCTTCAGCTTTGGTCCTTGGGTCACCTGTCACTGCGCCCATGGTGTGGTGGAAGAGCCTGAAGTACGGATCCACGCTGATGAGGTGCTGCCATAGATGGGATGGGTGATACCGGTATGTTGATGTTGGGATCTGTCAAACCACTGGAAAAATATGGAAAAATCTTACAAAAATGCTGAGGATAGCCATTTTTGGAGCCGGTAAATGCTGGTGTTTGCTTTGGACAGGGCCAGACTTGGTCCAGACTTTGTGGAGGTTTTCCAAACCAACATGGCTATGGATCAAGAAAGCCCCAAACAGAAGCCATCTGTGATGATAGCCATCCGATGTTCCCAGATTTCGGTCGGAATGCCAACTTTTAAGGGCAAATCGGCAAATGGTGATTTTGTTTTCCTCTTTTTGTTTCCACATCTGTGCAGTTATAAACTGATATGTCAATGTTTAGGATTTGATGCAGTTATAAACCTTGATGATATTGATAAACAAGGATTTTTACATTTTTACATATATGGAGTTTAATGCATAAACTGATGTGCCAATTTTGAGGATTTTTCATTGTGAATTTCATTGTGATGTCTGTGTCTGCTGTGTCTGTGTCATCCCAATCTCCACCATTCCCAGGAGATCCGCCGGGCTCCACCACAGACCAAGCTGCGTCAAACGACGGGTCCGGCTGAAAAAAAATACCTGGGATTCCAGATGCATTTCAGATGTTGGATCTAAGATGTTGCAATCTTCCTGGAGATTGTAACTTCCAAGTTGGATTTAAGATGTTGTAAGATGTTGTAAGATGTAAGCCATCTCAGTCAATCTCAGTGGGATTTGTTTTTCATCTGGCCATGGTTGCAGCGGATGATTCAACAGCTTCTCCAGGTCTGAAGACCGAGACGGACAGGCGCGGCGAAATTGGGCTTTGCCTGAAAAGTGTGTAGCCATACATCCATTCGTTAGTCATCATCTTCGTTCATGTTCCCTATTGAGATAGCCATTTGGGGATAGACCACATTGACAAAGCCAAATAATACAAATAATGTTGAAATTGTGGCTTTTTCAGAACTGGGATCCATGTCTTAACCATGCCATCTGATTGGGCGAAAGAAAAATCCACGATCCAAGCTGCGTCCTTCGTGTCAATGCGTCAGGTTTCCGAGCGAGTTCAAGAAACCGCTACTACAGGCCCAATTTGTTGTTTACCTATACGGCTTCAGAGTGTCAAAGATCATCCCATGTCACAAGGTGAAACACCATGTTTTGCGTTGGAGGGCCACCGTCTCAAGTCCTTCCCCCATTGTGTTCGTCCATAGGGTATCCCTACCCAAGCAATTCAATAGGGAAAGTTTGATCAGAAACCATTGAATTTACAGTCAACCTCCCATTTCTGCACTCAAAATGCAATTTGCTCTTCGCTCAGCTCCCTGAAGCGGCTATTCCAGAGCGAGAGGTGCGCACCGACAAAGATGGAGATAGTGAAATGCCCCCTTGTAATCCAAGCCCATGGTTATGGGATGTTATGGGCGATGTTCTTTTTGAAACTGGGATACCATGAGCATCGTTAGGGTTATACCTGAGGGTAACCAATGGATAACAGAGATCCCCAAATAGTTGAAGCGGGAATCTTTGAGCCTATTGCATTGGCAATGTTGTGCTCGTCCAGCAGTACGCAAAATTGATGTACAGGAAAATGCAGAGGTGACTCCTCAGGGTACCATGGTTCCATTGGATAGTGGCAGAGAGCTTTGTCAGGACCGCAAAAATGGACGGGAGACGTTGAGCTGTGGACTTAATTTTACAGGGACGACGGAGCGGACTAGCGCGGGACAAATCCCAATAGATTCGAACTGGTTTGGAGTTTGGAATCCTTGTTGTTCATGTATTTCCCAAAGTTTGACATTTAGACCCATATCCATATATATATATATATCAATATATGCATCAATCCCAAATAGCTTGTCATTCTCCCAGCATAGATTCTTCCATTTTCCACCCATTCCTGGGACCGAGGCAAGGCAACCTCCAGTGCTTTGAAGCGGGTCCAGCTGCCAGCAGGGCCCTGAGATCGACAAATAGCTATTGAAGCCATGGCCACAGAAAGTTCGTTTATTTACCCATTAAAAATGGTGATTTTCCATAGCAAACTGTTAGTTTACCAGAGGGTAAAACAAAGGTGCTCATGATCTTATTATCGACCAAAAATCATCCAAAACCAATGAAGATTCTGTGAATTCTGTCCATCAACCATCACCCAATCATCAGCCAATTCCAGCCCATTCCAAGCACCAGGCTCCGGTACCGACTTCTGCAGCGCCATCCCGCTGGAAGAAGGCGCAAAAAAGATGGGAGTTGAGCAGTTCAGCATTTTGTTGATTGAACTATGAGAGAGATCCATAAAGTTTACAAGAAATTTCATAAGTTGTAGATCCATCAACAGTTTGTGGAAAAATTGGAAAGTCATAGGAATTCAGCAAAAAGACCCTCCACTTTTCGGTTCTCAGGTCGTGACTGCCGCTCTGCTGTTTGTAGTCCCTTGGCGAACGTTGCAAGGTGGGATGGTGCCACCAAGTTATGGTCGCCATGGAATATCCATGGAATATGATGACTTGATGACCCTTATGAATCATCTGCTATGAGACAGACCGTCAGACCGATAGTTTTGAGATTGTTTGCAGAAACTTGCCCAACGATCCAAGAAAAACAAGGGATTTTCCGGAACTAGGAGGCTGCAAGCAGTAGTTTGTAACCCAAATTGCCACGGCTGAGGTGGTGAGTGGTCTCGTGCTCCTTGCAGCAGCGTATCCGGTGGCAGAACATCTGTCGGATGAGTTCAAGGCCGGGCCCGGCTTGAAATGTGGTCGTTTAACGAGGGCTGGTTTCAACCGTTGAAACCGTTGAAACCATCCGTAAATTGGGGTAAGTTGAATCCAAACCCATAGTTGGGATTTTGCTGGGAAAAACATGGTAAAATCATCTATTATAAATGTTGAGATGTTGATTTCTTGATGTACCTGATGTTGCTGTTTTCCTTCCGATCGCCTTCCAGATGGACATCACATGTGTTAAACTGTTTGGAACTGGTGGTCCCCAAGTCTTGCCCACCAGCAAGATCCTATTCCTATGGCTGTTGGTTGTTGCACCAATCACGCTCATCGTTGATGTTTACCAGTGGAGGAAGCAGTCAGAAAGGTTGCCATCATGGGACCCCCTGGGATACTGAAGCTGAGCCACGGCACAGGAGTACAGCTGCAGAATCAGCGACCCGGCCATCTACAGCGCGTCCGTCGGGGGCCTCGGAGCAACTTGGAGGTCACAGCGAACGGAAGACCGTGAAATGCGACCTGTCAGGAGATCCCCTACTTCCAATACAGTTTGCCTGGGCCTTGGAAGATTTGGAAGCTTGATGAAAACTCAGCACTCAGCACCGGAGCTTTTCGAGGACTCCCGGTGTCTCCTGTTGGGTCGAACTGGAGATCTCCAAGCCGTGCCAAGCCACGGCCTTGGAAATCTGACAAAGCCATATAAAGTCCAGTTCCATCAGGAGTTGTTATCTGAGTTGGGGAATTCCATGTAGATTCTACGAGGACTTTGGGGGTATTGTGGGATTCACCCCGAACCCAGGAATCTGGCTGCGAGCCGGCCCTTCAACACGCAGGAGATGCTGAGAGTCTTTTTTCGAAGCTCCTGCGTCACTTGTGTCACTTGTCAGGATGGACAGTGGTGACATTTGAGAATCCAAAGGACAGCTGCCACCGGAAAATCAGCACTCTTGGCAGTATGATGACCTTGGCATCCATGTTACTGATATGTGCTGATTAGATTATGATTACCCATATCTCCACACTGGCCGCCTTGAATCCACAACGCAGGAGTTTCTCAGTCCAATCAGAAAAACCTGCGCCGCTCAAGTCTTTATCTCAGTGCATCGCAAGGATTTTGCGAAAGCTGTTCCGATACGTTTTGCTGTCATGACTCAGGGGAAGTTCTTCTTCATTGAACTTTCGGTCTTTATGCGCTTGAGATCTGACAATTATGTTTTGACCACAAGCTTCAAGTTTCCTTCAACTCAATTTTTGACCAGTGTGTGCAGTACTTCTAGTTACTTGTACTGCAATCCTTTGAAGGCCTAGCGTGTCCAATTATCTACCTATTGTACTACTGTAGATATCATTACCATATTCCATTTAGCCAAATTCATATTCATTCAATTTCATTCATATTCACCCAATATTTTCCTATTTTCCAGGCATTCCAGGCATTCCAGGCTCACCAGGACAAGTTCTCACCATGTCGTTCTCCCTTTGGGCCCTTGGGGCCGTTTGGACCGCCGTTGCGGAGCCCTCCGCGTCGGCCAACCGGTCCCACTTCTTGGGCCGCGAGCGTTCCGCCGTGGAGGTCTCGGCTGGGGGGGCGAAGTGCGGTCCGTTGGACCTCCCGCAGAATGCCAACTGTGACTGGGATCAAAATCCTCGAAATTTTGATTCAATTGATTCAACTGATTCAATTGATTCATGATTTATCTTATCTAATATACATAATATAACTTATTATGTCTATTATATATATACCACATACTTGAGAGATTTTTGTTTGAAGATCTTGGGATTGAGAATGTTGTTTTAAATGGGGGGATGATACCATGGGACAGAATAGGGGGCTACCCCCAATGGCAATCAAATACTGCGGAAAATGCTGTAGAGTTTTGGGCTACGGTTTGAAAAGAAAATATAGATGTTCCATAAGAGAAATGGGTTTCAAGTTTCAACTGGATTGTTTTCTGTTCAAGAATCTATATGGGAAGATGATCCCCAAATTGGCCCACCTTTTGACATGTTGACATGCAGAAACCGAGGTAAGGAGGTGGTGGAATGGGCCGCTTCCGGTGGCAAAAATGACCCCAGTGCTGGCAGTTGGTATTACAACATGCCCAGCATTGCCGGTGTCAAGTACGGCGAAGCCTCCGTGGCAGATTTCCAACGGCTCTACTACTGCGCCCCTCCGGGGAAGGACAAATTTTGCGGCGTGCCACCGTGCACCGGTTGCAGCCGGGAGCCCTGTAACGATTGCTTCGCAGGGCATCAGATGTATGCCTCATTGAGGCCTGGCTGCGATGGCAACAACCGAGGACTTGGATGTGTGCCACCCAAGTCGGCCATGGGAGACTTGGCGCTGGTGGTTCAACGGTTCAACTTCATGGGAAATCCATATTTTCCTGTGTCCAAGAGGAGTGGATGCAACCAGTAGTGGATGCTACACCTTTTTCGGCTTATCGACAGAGCACAATGAAGCTTCGTCAATAGGGGGCCAATACTAACTAGACGACGGATGGCCCGAGAGCGTAGAGGAGCAGGGTCTTCTCTTCTTAGTATGGAGACACCATATTACAAACAATATATTAAAGATGTGTTATAGGCAGTCGAGAAGACGAGTATCAAGACAAAATAGCAGAAGTGCAAGACAAGAGTTTGCATCGCAAACACTTTTACACACAGAAACTTTTACACACAGACGCTTTTACACACAAAAGCTTTTACACACAGAAGCTTTTACACACAGAAGCTTTTACACACAAAGGCTTTCGCACACAAAAGCTTTTACAGACACTTTCACACACAGACCCTTTTACACACAGACGCTTGTACACACAAAAGCTTTTACACACAGAAGCTTTTACACACAGACGCTTTTACACAAAGCTTTTACCCACAGAAGCTTTTACAGACAGAAGCTTTTACACACATACGCTTTTACACAGATGCTTTTACACACAGACACTTTTACACACAGACGCTTTTACACACAGACGCTTTTACACACAGACACTTTTAACAAAGACCCTTTTACACACAGGAGCTTTTACACACAGAAACCCTTTGACACACAGAAGCTGCGACACACGGACCCCATTTACACACAGACCCTCTTACACACAAACGCTTACACTCTTGCACTCACACCCTTTTACATCCAACCCCAGTTAAATCGCAATTTTACCTCGGTTTTTGCACATCGAGCATCGTTTCGTGCGAAAGGGTTGCTCCGGCACAAGTAAAATCGCAATTTTACCTCAGTTTTTGCACATCGACCCTCATTTCGTGCGAAAGGGTTGCTCCGGGACAAGTCCGGCACAAGTAAATTCGCAATTTTTCCTCAGTTTTTGACGATCGACCATCATTTCGTGCGAAAGGGTTGCTCCAGCACAAGTAAAATCGCAATTTTACCACAGTTTTTGCGCATCGACCCTCATTTCGTGCGAAAGGGTTGCTCCGGGACAAGTAGAATCGCAATTTGACGATCGACCCTCATTTCGTGCGAAAGGGTTGCTCCAGCACAAGTAAATTCGCAATTTTACTACAGTTTTTGACGATCGACCCTCATTTCGTGCGAAAGGGTTGCTCCGGGACAAGTAAAATCGCAATTTTACCACAGTTTTTGACGATCGACCCTCATTTCGTGCGAAAGGGTTGCTCCGGCACAAGTAAATTCGCAATTTTACTACAGTTTTTGACGATCGACCCTCATTTCGTGCGAAAGGGTTGCTCCAGCACAAGTAAAATCGCAATTTTACCACAGTTTTTGCGCATCGACCCTCATTTCGTGCGAAAGGGTTGACGTTTCGTGACTCCCCGCCGGCACCACCCTCGGCCTAAAGAGAGAAAGATAAAGAAGGCGAGAAAGAGAAAAGGGAAAGAGAAAGGAGAGAGAGAGAGAGAAAGGAGAGAGGAAAGAGGAGAGGGAGAGAGAGAGAAGATGTGAGTATGTGAAGATGTGAGTGCGAGAGAGAGAAAGAGAAGATGTGAGTATGTGAAGATGAGCAGATGTGAAGATGAGCAGATGTGAAGATGAGCAGATGTAAAGATGAGAAGATGTGAAGATGAGCAGATGTGAAGATGAGAAGATGTGATGATGAGAAGATGTGAAGATGAGCAGATGTGAAGATGAGAAGATGTGAAGATGAGCAGATGTGAAGATGAGCAGATGTGAAGATGAGCAGATGTGAAGATGAGAAGATGTGAAGATGAGCAGATGTGAAGATGAGAAGATGAGATACAGACCCCCACTATTGGAAGAACCCTGCGCTCAGACGCTCTCGGGAAAAAATGTGCAATGATGCTCCTGGCATCGGGTTGATATGTTTCCATTTTTTTGGCCGGATGATCCGGATGGCCAACTGTCAAGTCCCAGGATACAAGGGCCAACATTGGCCCACCACCGTGGTGTATGGCGTTCAGGAGATGCACATCTTCGCCATTGGCGACTGGGGTGGTATGGATGGATCCCTGGATACCAACGAGGGTCGTCCCAACATCGTGGCCTACAACTGGGGGAAACGACCTGGACCCAGCGTCTTCCCCAGGAGTCGCTGGAACAAGGCACACACCGTGCAGTTCTGCGACCATAAGCAGCTGGTGGAATGCTTCAACACTCGTGGACAACCACCATGTATCCCTGAGTGCGGCTATGTGCCAGGCCATTGAATCGAAAGTTGATTTGCGGGTGAGCTGATTGCAGTGTGTCTTCCAGTGTCTTCCTCTTCCAGTTTCAATCCAGTTTCAATGAAATCCCAAACCGATCGGAAATTCCCATTCCAAAGATATCCAGTTGTCATCCACTTCTGGCCACGTCATCCCATCCAGGTGTGGATGACAACCCACAGATCCTTGTGGCCAATGCCTTCAAGGCCCGTGCCGCGCTGAAGGATCCGCAGTACATTTTGAACGTGGGCGACAACTTCTACTGGGGCGCATTGAGAAAACCTGCGGGGAACCCATGAACAAGCGCCTTGGCCATAGCATGGCCATAGTTGTGTTGAAGGGAAGCACCGAAAGGTTGAAGATTTTCATGGACGGAAGTAGGTGTTGGTGGAATATGTTGCGGGAACGTTCCTGTGTTTGGATGCTAGAAGACATGGGTTTCTTTGAAATGTCCCTAAAGCTGAGCTGGCGATTTGAAAACAAACGAAAAGGGTCTCTTGGGGCGATGGAAGGTGTTCATGAAGCATAGCAATCACGCAGTGGGACTATTTGTCTTGTCTCAGCACCTAACCATCTCACCCTCAGAATCATGATGCAGATTGAAAGATTGTGTCAACTGCATCGGACCGCAGGAAATATTTGGATTATTCTGCATGACTGTTACCCTACATTGTGCTGATCACAGCGTAGGCAGTGGCAGCAAATAATCACAGCGCTAGAAAGTTCAAAGCATTGACATACAGGTTGCAAGGCATGCCTGGTACCATACACCCTCTTTTCCGGCGTAAACACCCAAGAACTTCCATGTCTTGTAGGATCTCCTACCCCACAAAGCATCAGTTCGATCAGATCTTCGAGGGTGTGTATCAGGGAGCCGGGCTCAGCGGAAAGCCCTGGTTTAGCGTCTTGGGCAACCACGACTGGGGAGGCTTCAAGTTCGACAACGGTGCCTTGGCGTCCCTGGAAGTGGCAGAATGACCGGCTTTGAGACGGGTTTTCGTCGATCCCATTGGGATAAATCTTATAGAAATAAGACTTTCGTGGAGTGCACAATAAGCTTATCCTGAAACCTGGTCAGATTCTGACTTTGGAGCATGGTATGCAACATCTGAGGAGTTTAAAGGTCTCTGCTGTAGGATTTTTATGTTTCGTCTTTTTCGTCTTTTTCCCCACATCTTTGTGTGGGGTTCTTGTTTTTGATTCTGTATCCCGGGCTCCTTCTCCTTCTCCTCCTCCTCCCGCCGCCCGCCGCCCGCCGCGCACACACACACACCACACACACACACACACACGCACACACACACACCAACACACACACACACCATCACACACACACACACGCACACACACACACAACACACACACACACCAACACACACCAACACACACCAACACACACCAACACACACACACACCCACCAACACACACACACACACCCACCAACACACACACACACCCACACACGCACACACGCACACACACACACCTTGCGTGGCAGGCGTGGCACAAACTCACATCCACCGTCGTTTTGCGTGGCAGGCGTGGCACTCATGGCACTGGGTGGCGCGCTTGGACTGGCTTGGTCGCCCGTGACGCCCGGGCACGCCGCGGCACTTTGCGTGGCAGGCGTGGCACAAACTCACATCCACCATCGTTTTGCGTGGCAGGCGTGGCACAACCTCACATCCACCGTCGTTTTGCGTGGCAGGCGTGGCACTCATGGCACTGGGTGGCGCGCTTGGACTGGCTTGGTCGCCCGTGACGCCCGCGGCACTTTGCGTGGCAGGCGTGGCACAAACTCACATCCACTGTCGTTTTGCGTGGCAGGCGCTGGGTGGCGCGCTTGGACTGGCTTGGTCGCCCGTGACGCCCGGGACGCCGCGGCACTTTGCGTGGCAGGCGTGGCACAAACTCACATCCACCGTCGTTTTGCGTGGCAGGCGTCACACAACCTCACATCCACTGTCGTTTTGCGTGGCAGGCGTGGCACTCATGGCACTGGGTGGCGCGCTTGGACTGGCTTGGGAGCAAAATGGGAGACCGGGGAAGAAGATGGAAAGGGGGGGGGAAGTGATGTCCGTCCCGATTTCTATGTTTCAGTCACTCTTATCCTCTCCTCTTCTCTCTTGCTGCACAGCTTTTTTCTCTCTCTTGGAGTGCCAGGAGCACAAACTCACTCCACGTTTTGCGTGGCAGGCGTGTGGCACAACCTCACATTCCACGTCGTTTGCGTGGAGGCGTGGCACTCATGGAAAGAGTGGGTGGCGCGCTTGGACTGGCTTGGTCGCCCGTGACGCCCGGGACGCCGCGGCACTTTGCGTGGCAGGCGTGGCACAAACTCACATCCACCGTCGTTTTGCGTGGCAGGCGTCACACAACCTCACATCCACTGTCGTTTTGCGTGGCAGGCGTGGCACTCATGGCACTGGGTGGCGCGCTTGGACTGGCTTGGTCGCCCGTGACGCCCGGGACGCCGCGGCACTTTGTGTGGCAGGCGTGGCACAAACTCACATCCACGTTTTGCGTGGCAGGCGTGGCACTACATGGCACTGGGTGGCGCGACGCAGAGGCACTTGACGTGGCAGGCGTGGCACCCACACTCCCATTCCACCGTCGTTTTGGTCGTGGCAGGCGTTGCACAAACTCACATCCACCATCGTTTTGCGTGGCAGGCGTGGCACTCATGGCACTGGGTGGCGCGCTTGGACTGGCTTGGTCGCCCGTGACGCCCGGGACGCCGCGGCACTTTGCGTGGCAGGCGTGGCACAAACTCACATCCACTGTCGTTTTGCGTGGCAGGCGTGGCACTCATGGCACTGGGTGGCGCGCTTGGACTGGCTTGGTCGCCCGTGACGCCCGGGACGCCGCGACACTTTGCGTGGCAGGCGTGGCACAAACTCACATCCACCGTCGTTTTGCGTGGCAGGCGTTGCACAACCTCACATCCACCGTCGTTTTGCATGGCAGGCGTGGCACTCATGGCACTGGGTGGCGCGCTTGGACTGGCTTGGTCGCCCGTGACGCCGCGGCACTTTGCGTGGCACAACCTGACATCCACCTTCGTTTCACGTGGCCGGCGTGGCACAAACTCACATCTACCTTCGTTTCACGTGGCAGATGGCACTGGGCAAGTGAAATTGGTCATTTGCATGCAAAGATGCGGTCCTTGCTCGTGGTCGAGAGGCAGGGCTCAACTGCGCTTCAGCAACGCTGTGCAGCGCAGACATGACAGATTCTGTTTCTTGCATGCAGACTTTCATCATGTTGTTCTTGTCGTTCTGTTTTGGTCCAACTAGAAGTTGCAGACAACAGCTCTAGCACGCATACCACTACAACACAACTACAACTAGTCAGTGAAGGTAAAGATGCGGTCGTAGGATCATCTCTTGTTGCACAATTCCACAAGTCGTCAGTGAAGTTTTTGCGGACAACATCGCTAGCATGCATACGACTCAACCACAACTACAATACAACGAGTCAGTTAATGAAATTGGTCATTTGCATGCAAAGAGGCGGTCCTTCCGGCATGTTTCTTCTTAGGATCATCTTTTGTTGCACAATTCCACAAGGCGTCAGTGAAGTTTTTGCGGACAACATCTCTAGCTAGTCAGTCAAGCTAAAGATGCGGTCGTAGGATCATCTCTTGTTGCACAATGCCACAAGTCGTCAGTGAAGTTTTTGCGGACAACATCTCTAGCATACATACGACGCAACCACAACTACAACGAGTCAGTCAGTGAAATTGGTCATTTGCATGCAAAGAGGCAGTCCTTCCGGCATGTTTCGTCTTTCCGCGTGCTTCGGCATGTTTGATTTTGGCATGTTTAAGCACTTTCTTCTGTCGGCCTGCTACGTGCTTCGGCATGTTTGATTTTGACATGTTTAAGTTTGGTCATTTGCATGCAAAGATGCGGTCCTTCCGGCATGTTTCTTCTTTCCGCGTGCTTCGACATGTTTGATTTTGGCATGTTTAAGTACTTTCTTCTGTCGGCCTTGTACGTGCTTCGGCATGTTTGATTTTGGCATGTTTAAGTTTGGTCATTTGCATGCAAAGATGCGGTCCTTCCAGCATGTTTCTTCTTTCCGCGTGCTTCGGCATGTTTGATTTTGGCATGTTTAAGCACTTTCTTCTGTCGGCCTGCTACGTGCTTCGGCATGTTTGATTTTGCCGTGTTTAAGTTTGGTCATTTGCATGCAAAGATGCGGTCCTTCCGGCATGTTTCTTCTTTCCGCGTGCTTCGACATGTTTGATTTTGGCATGTTTAAGTACTTTCTTCTGTCGGCCTTGTACGTGCTTCGGCATGTTTGATTTTGGCATGTTTAAGTTTGGTCATTTGCATGCAAAGATGCGGTCCTTCCAGCATGTTTCTTCTTTCCGCGTGCTTCGGCATGTTTGATTTTGGCATGTTTAAGCACTTTCTTCTGTCGGCCTGCTACGTGCTTCGGCATGTTTGATTTTGCCGTGTTTAAGTTTGGTCATTTGCATGCAAAGATGCGGTCCTTCCGGCATGTTTCTTCTTTCCGCGTGCTTCGACATGTTTGATTTTGGCATGTTTAAGTACTTTCTTCTGTCGGCCTTGTACGTGCTTCGGCATGTTTGATTTTGGCATGTTTAAGTTTGGTCATTTGCATGCAAAGATGCGGTCCTTCCGGCATATTTCTTCGTTCCGCGTGCTTCGGCATGTTTGATTTTGGCATGTTTAAGTACTTTCTTCTTTCGGCCTGCTACGTGCTTCGGCATGTTTGATTTTGGCATGTTTAATTACTTTCTTCTGTCGGCCTGCTGTATTCCACACACACACACACACTTCCGGCCAGGTGCTGGTCTTGCTCGTGGTCGAGAGGCAGGGCTCAACTGCGCTGCAGCAACGCTGTCCGCTTCGGAGAGAGAAGCGTGTGCGGCACGGCGGCCCAGTGAAGTTTCTGGACCGGAAGCTTTGGGAATCCTCATGTTTCTGAGAAACACATTGCAGAAGATAGTGTTCCACATGTTTCACGCTTAAATGTTAGTATTTGGCTTTAGTTTGTCCGTTGTTGACAAGCTACTGCAGCTATGGCAACGTCGTGAGACCAAGAAGAACGTGGAAGATTGCAGCAGCCGAGCAACAGGCGGAATCGCCTTCCTGATCTCATCAGTGTGACAATGAGCGATGGCTCACTTGTGGAGATCAACTTGACTGGAGCCAATCGAGAAGAAAGGGAAGATGTGGCGCGGTTCTTGGACGCACACACTACGGTAGCCATGGTACCACCTGCTGCACACCGTGAATCAAGAGAGCGGTCGCCGAGATTGGCGTTTTCCTCAGGGCCTACCCTTCGTGTAACTTCACCAGATGTACAAGACCGCTTCAGGCAATTACCACAACCGCCCATCGCAAGTCATGGGGAGTCAGCTTCTGATGAAAGAATGCCGCTTGAGCGAGCTGGAGCCGCGAGCTTCGAACAACTGCGTCCCCAACGATGTGCTGGCGCACCCATGTCAAAGGCATCAGCGGTGGCCACAGGAGCGGGGTCATTGCCTATGTCCACTGCTGCAGCGGAATGTCCGTCTGAACAGCGTCGCAAGAAGGCGTCGTGACAGCAGTCCACGGGAGAAGAAATGTTGCTGTAATTATGATACATATCTTTCTTTTACATATCATGAAATGGTTTGACGCAATGTGCGAAGAACCGTTTGATGCTGTAGCAAAAGTGGTCTGCATTTTGCCCCACTGTGGGAAGAAGTGCTACAGACCTTGTGAAGACTTTGGTCACGGCGAAAAGGTGACCTTCGTGCGGCAACTGGAATTTTGGTCTTTCTGTATTTGTTGCTTTGACAGCCAGCTCCATATACATAGCTGTCCTTTTGCGGCCAGGTACTTTTCCGTTCTGGTATCGTCATTGGGCCTGTGACCTTAGGGTAGGCGCGGTTTTCTTCGTAGGTCACCGGTTGAAGTCATCGTAGTACTCTCTTCGTTTTCTCCTAGACCCATTGTTGACCCAATATGGGAAGACTGAGGTCGCGACGGCCAAATCAAAACCGTTCGTGACATGTGTAGAGTTTGCGCAACTGCGGGAAGGAGTGCTACAGGTCTTGCCAGGATTTGGATCACAGCGAAAAGGTGACAATTCGTGCAACAGACTGCATTGTATCGTTTCTGCGCATGTTGCTTTGATAGCTAGCTGCATATACACGTTCTGTCCTTTTGCGGCCAGGTACTTTTCCGCTCTGTTGCAGTCGATGCCAACAACTGCAGGCTGCGCTGTGGATCTCTACCAAAGAACTATATATTTTATTTTGTGGTTTCGTCTTGAACCTTTTTCTGTGCTGCCAGGTGTTGCTTGTCAATGGTGAAGTAATGCGCAGGCCGGGAGCTGCACTTGCGGCGTAGTGTGGACCATCTATACGGTTGATCAATAAGATATCTACTGTGGTTAAGCTATGTAGAATAGATTGGTTCTTGGGGTTCATGCTGTGCCGAGCTATTGCAGCTGTCATGTAGTAACAAGATAGCACGCATGAAGCCTCTGTGTCTTTGCAACTGCCGCAGGTGCCCTTCCAGTGAGCTTCTTGGACGGAGGACAGGCGCGTGTCTCACGGCCCGACAATGAGTCAAGCAATCTATGACGTCGGGAGCCAGAGCTTTGACCCAATGTGGGAAGAAGCGTATGCAGATGCGTGGCGAACCGACACTTATGTGGAAAAAATTGCGACGCCTGTGTGTTTCTGAACTGTGCGGTTGCTTGACATCTTTGGAAAAACCTGCACAGTTAGTGTCATGGTGTTTGCCTGTGACTGTGACTGTGTCGTGTCTTCCATAGTTGCATTGACAACCAGCTACATTCGTGTTCAACACTTCTGCGGCCAGGTACCTTTCCTCTATGTCATCATCGTCGGATGCATACATACATGCATACATGCATGCATGCATGCATACATACCTACATACATACATACATACATACACGATCTTTCACCACCTCCTTTGTCTTTCCTTCCTTCCCTGTCCCCGCTGAAACCATTGAAGCTCATTTTAGGAAGAAGTTGACTTGTGGGGTTATCCGGTCCTTTAATTCGTCTTGTGGCTCCAGCATGGCAGCATGGCAGTGCAGTGGCACCCAGGTTGGGACCAGCAGATGTCTTACACCTGGGCCAGCGACCGATGGGTCATGCCCGCGCCCTACTACACCACCTCAGTGGTCTATGCGGATTTGGGTTTCTCGCAGCCCACGTTTGTGTTGTCATGTTGGGTCAAAAAAGATGCGCTTTGGGTAGGAACTATAGTGACTCTATCTATCTATCCATCCATCCATCCATCTATCTATCTATATATATATATACAGTATATCATTTTGACATGGGATGATGATATGTTGTACCCTGGTGACAATTTTGGGGTGCCCAGTGATCAGTGGCTCAGGTTTTGACGTGGACTACTACTTTTTGGATTCCAACTTTGTGGACGCCAAACCGCCAGAGGCAGGGATCCTATTTTTCCTAGGGGTCCTCGTGTGATGTGCTTTGGAAGTGGTAAGTCACATTCAGAATTTGCTGCAGATCAGGGTGTTATGCCTTGAATTTGCGTAAATTTCCCCCTTTTTGTTGAGTTTCTCTTGTCCTTGTGCCTTGATCGGTGGTTTTTCCCAGGAGGATCCCAATCACAACATGTGTTCGCGCAAGAACAACAAGCCCTCGGCCACCTGTGCTGCAGCCGATGGCCCCGTCTCAGTGGACAGCTGCCCCGGTTGGTTCGCAGCTCTATGGGCGGAGCAGAAGGAGTGGGTCAGCCAGCTGTTGCCAAAAAGTCAGGCCACCTGGCAGATTGCCGTGACCCATTTCCCTTGTGGTCATGAACAAGGTGGGGGAGACGAAAAGTTGAGTGACCAAAGATGACCAAAGATGACCAAAGATGACCAAAGATGACCAAAGATGACCAAAGATGAAAAGTTGAGAATTGAAGGGATGTTACATGTTGGATAGTACCCTAAAGCTCCCTAAACATCAAACCATCATAAAATATCATAAAGCTAAGTGCAAAGATTATCTTGAAATGTTCACCTGGTTCACCTGCAGGTTTCTACAAGACCTTGGCCAACATGGGATTGGATTTGTTGATCACTGGGCACCGCCACGACCAAGAGCTGTGGTTCCCCGATGACTTCGCCAAGAACCACATGGGCATCACCTGTATCGTCACTGGCGGAGGGGGTGGTATTACCTCTGAGGCAACACCAGATCCAGACCACACCGAGGATGCCAATTCCCTGTGGATCTGATTTTGTATCTTTTTTTGAAGTTTCTCCCATAAGCATCATAAGCCATAGGTATAGATATGATACAAGTAGAACCCGCGCAAGGCGGGTGGCGGAAGTTTCCAGGTTTAAGGACTGTGACGCTATAGGATCCAAAGACAAGGTTTGCCCATAGGAGATGCAGCGGACCCTCACAGCTTCTCAACTCTGTTCTGTGAATTCGTCCTCTTTTTGCCTCACCCTTTTCAATTGTGACCATCACTTTTCAGCTCTTCTCAGACCATCTCTGCTCTTCTCAATTCTCACAGCTCTTTTCAACAGCTCTCAACGTTTATTTCATCTCTTCCCACCTCAGCTCAACTCTTTTCACCTCTTCCCCACTCTTCTCAACGACTCTCACCTCTGCCCACCTTTTCTCAACTCTTCTCACCTCTTGCCACCTCTTCTCAACTCTTCCCACCTCTTCTCACCCGCGCTCAACTCATCTCACCTCTTTCTCAGCTCATCTCAACCCTTCTCACCTCTTGTCAACTCTTCTCAGCTTCTACGCACAGAAGCTTTTTCACAGAGAAGCTTTTACACACAGAAGCTTTTTCACACAGCAAGCTCATACACAGAGAAGCTTTACACAGAGCAAGCTTTTACACAGAGCAAGCTTTTTCACAGAGCAAGCTTTTGCACAGAGAGGCTTTTACACACAGAAGCTTTTGCACACAGCAAGCTTTTACACAGAGAAGCTGCTACACAGGATGCGCCAAAATGGACAAAAAAATCTGCTGCCAAAGCACCGTTCGCAACCCTCATGCAGCTACTACAATACGATTTACGATTCTCAGATGCTAACCATAAAAGTATTCCGCGCGCAGCTGCAGCAGCGAGGAACCTTGACGCAGCCATTCCATTGCGATCTGCTAACACTGAGTTGCAAATTCAAACAGAATGACGCACCACGGCTACAGAAATGGCAGCTCCAAAACCTGATCTCGACGCCCAAACGGAAAAAACACGATCTTGAAGCGCTTTTTAAAAGGATTTTGCTAAAGGAAAATCATCTTCGCCAAAATGGAGAAAAATCTGCTGCTTAGGCACCGTTCGCAACCTTCATGCAGCGACTGCTATACGATTTACGATTCTCAGGTGCTAAACACAATGGTATCCCGCACGCAGCCGCAGCAGCAAGAAACCTTGCTGCAGCCATTCCGCTGCGATCTGCGCAAACTGAACGGCACAACACAATAGAATTGCAACACACTACTGTAGAACGCATCGCTTTGATGCAGCAGTTCCAATGCACAAAGTGAGACTAGAAAAAGTCACTTGGAACCCTCAGTTACACGCGCGCAGTTCGAAACAGATTCCACGGCAAAGCGGCGACGCCTAACCCCGTCGCGCATGCGAGCCAACTTTTCTCCGCAAGGGAACTTCCGTGTACCCGAAAAATCACAATGCTTCGTGCACATTCAAACCGCATCCTTGATGTAGCAGTTCCAATGCGATCTGCCAACGATGACTTGCAAACCACAATCAGAATCACAAGACATAACTGAAAAACAAGTACCTTTCAAGACACCTTGACGCAGCCATCCCGGAGCACCAGAAAAAGCACCAGAAAAAACCAGAAAAAAACAGAAAAAGCACGAGAAAAAGCACGAGAAAAAGCACGAGAAAAAGCACAAGAAAAAGCACGAGAAAAAGCACGAGAAAAGCACCAGAAAAAGCACGAGAAAGATCCAGAAAATTAAAAGAAAAAACACAAAGATTGTGATTTGCTGGTGCTTTTTCTGGTGCTTTTTTTGCGTATCTTTCTTTATTTTTATCAGGCGGTCGGCAAAAAAAGCACGAAAAGAGCACCAGAAAAAGCACGAGAAAAAGTGAAAAAAACACGCAGTCGAACCAAAGAGGCCGTGAAAGGTCATTGATTTTTTTCTCTTTTTGCATGTATTTGTGCGCGTCAAAAGTATTGAACCTCGAGGGATTTGCGGGCCTGGGGATTAAAATTAAGTTTACGGTTTAGGATTTAGGGCTTAGGAACAGAACACCAAGCATGGTGAGACATGAAAACACCTCCGTCCAAGAAAATCGTTTCCAACAAACAAGCGCGCGCCAGGCTGCCGACCGAAAACGAATCCCCAACGGGAGAAGGTATGAGACTGTCAGGCTATCGGACAAAAAATTGCATTTTTCTCCTGAAACGAAATCATAAACAATCTTCGTAAACCAAAAGCATTGCAGTGACACCCAGAATTTCATTGGTGTGGACAGTGCTACACATAAAATACAACATGGGATCCAAAAGGGAAGATCCAAAATGTTGCAAACCCAGAATCAAGTACACAATTTGAATCAGCGCTTTCCAAAATTTCCTTGGAATTGAGAAGATTGGCAACCAAGAAAACCTGATTTGCTTCTGCTCCTCCAAGCAAGGAAACCCGTTGCTGGCTGTTACAGGCATTGGGTGGCACTCAGTGTATGTGTATATATACCTATATATACTGTGTGTGTTTTTCTTTCTCGGTTTGATTTGCACCCCATATTTTGACATGAATATTGTCATTTACATCTGTTTATGTTCAAATTTCCGGTTGAACATTGGATATAATTTTAGATATGGTGTATATGTATTTTTCCAATATACATATATATATATGCATATATAATAAAATATATTTGCATAAGCATACTACCGTTTGAACTTTGAGAAGTCCCAAAAGGCGGTTTCTTTCCCTTCGGCGAAGGACTGGTATGGCGAGGCCCAGTATGGCTTCTACGATCTGACCATCAGCAAGAAGGAGATCTTCATTGAATCCGTGAACTATGATGGTATCTCGACATGGAAAAAGTCTTCCAAGTCTGTCGAAGTTTCGGAATTTGATTTTGGAGCAGCAAAGCTGAGAAACCATGGGATTAGTATGTTTTGCTATAGGTGGTATACTTGATTTTTGACAAGCAGAATCGGCTGAATTGGTTGCATGTTCTCTGTTTGAAAACGTGCAACCCTCGAAAAGGAACCTTTTTTCCCGAAACAGCGTGTCCACACTGCGGGGTTCTTACGGTAAGAGCAAAGGCCGGTGCTTGATCAGCGGCATTTTACCTGTAAATTTTCGTATCAAATGGCTCTTGTGCAGTGTTGACGTGAATTTCGACTGCGCAGGCTCGCACATTTTGGTCCGCGGCATTTTACTTGTAAATTCTCGCACAAAGTTGCTCTCGTGAGATGTCCAAGTGCATTTCGACTGCGCAGGCTCGCACAAAGTCTGCCTCGCCATCGTGGGCCCCAGCATTTTCCCTGTAAATTCTCGCGCAAAATGGCTTTTGTGAAACGTCCAAGTGCATGTCGACTGCGCAGGCTCGCACAAAGTGTGGTCCGCGGTCTTGGTCTGTGGCATTTTACTTGTGAATTCTCGCGCAAAGTGGCTCTTGTAAAGGGTCCAAGAGCATTTCGACTGCGCAGGCTTGCACAAAGTGTGGATCCCAGGCTTGGGATCGGTCCGTCATCATCCGCAACATCATCATCTTCCTCATCATCCTCAACATCATCAACCTCCACCTCATCTTCCGCAACATCAACATCATCATCCTCAACCGCATCATCATCAACATCATCCTCCTGCAGCTCACCATCCTCAACATCATCGCCCGCAACACTATCATCATCATCATCAACATCATCATCATCATCAGCATCATCATCAGCATCATCATCATCAGCATCATCATCAGCATCATCATCATCATCATCAGCATCATCATCAGCATCATCATCATCATCATCAACATTATGGGACATTATCCCCCACTCCCCCACACTGTTTGGGGTCTCTTGCCGGGATACTTTGCTTGGTATTCAAAGAATGGGGTGCGCTATGAGGGCGGTGTGGTGTTGTGATGAGGGGAAGCACTTGCAACACCGGGGAAGATGCGTGATAGTGAGGCATACCAATGCACAATGGGTTCGGTGCAAGGGGGCGTTCAGCCAAGAAGGTGCGTGATTGCAATTGTTTAAAAGCAACTAAAAGCATTATACGCGTTTTTTTTTTGTTTGAGGGTTTCTTGTATATTGGTTTTGATCAAGTTTTAAAATCAACCACCAACAAGCGCCCAAAACGAATAGATCCAATACTAAACCATGATATTCCTCGAGGAAATTCAAAATCAGGAGGAAAGAATAGCATTTTTGGAGGGCCAAAAAATTTGGGACGGTAAAGCATGGCAACTTGTTGAGATTGATCTTTGGCAGGGTATGGCAGGGTAATCACAAGTGGTATGGCGTTGAAAGGGTTGGCATGCTCCGTTGCAGTTACATCATGACTCTCCGCAATTCACCACACAAATGCACCAAGATTCATGTGCCGCAGAGCTGTGATTTTTTGTTACATGTTTTGCTCTTTCCAGAATAATTTTGGATCCCACGAAAGAAGGAAAACTAAATTTCGGGTGAGTTTGCGGCACAAAGAGGGTATTATTATATTTGTGGTATGGTGAAGGGGTTTGCATCTTGTCTGGTAAACAATGGCAAGGGAATTTGTCAACGTAGATGTGTTTAGTGTTTTGCTCTGGAGTTTTTTGGCCATGTGGTTTTAGTCAGTTTGCTAGACACTAAAAGGTCCTTCAGAGTGTTGTTTCTGCACCGAGGCGAGGTGTTGTTGACCCACACAGTTTACCCATCTCGTTGAGGCATGCCTAGTGTGCCTGGAAATTCGGGGGATGCGTGACCATAGGGCCACTTTTGGACCCCCGTTGCATGTGTTTTCCACCCGCATAGGTTGGTCACACGGGAGTTCAATGTGCATCTCCATGTGGTGCTTGCTGAACTCGGTAGGAAAGATCAATTTCATTTAGTTTCGACATGTTGATGCCAAAAGCGACATCTTAAACATGCGAAGTAATTACATAGTTTGACGCTGAATCTTTGGCCTGACCAGAGCTCCACACAGCGGAAAGGACTGCGGTCCGTTTCAGCACGAGTCTGACATCACAAAGTGGTACCAACTGACGAAATGTCATGAAATGTCGCTGAGGTGAAACGCTTGCCGGAGCACTTCAAGTGTTTTGTCGCTCCCAGTTCAGAGGTGCCACTGCCCAAACGGCAGATACTGCCGCTGTCCAAGCACCCGAAGTCGCCAGGGTTCGCTGGTGGTGCTGCCACGGCCTGCTGCAGCCTGGGAAGTGGAGACGCTCTTGGCTGCGAGGCCATGACAGTTGATGAGATGAGTTGTAAAACGAACGATTTGAAAGGTGAGGTTTGGAGTCTCTCACACCCAAGCTCCAGGTTATATTTGAGACACTAAGTAGAGTCATTGCGAGATACCCCACATTTAATGGTGATTTGTCTTTGTCAATCTTATTTAGGGCCGTTTCCTCCCCCTGTGATGGCACCCAAATGCCGAAGCTGGCAGCCCGCGCAGATACACCTGGGCCGTGTTGGTTTGGCTTTTGGAGTTGCCGGCGAGATTTCGCGCACTCGGGCAGATGTGAATCAGGTCTTTGCAGAAAGGAGTGGGTTGTAGATGGGCGCAGGCCCAAAACTTCTTCCCCAGATCCGATGGTTTCTCAAGACTTATCTCAGCCCCACACCGCGCCAGGCGTGGCCTTTGCTTTGCCTTATGCATTTACCAGGTGCCTTGACAGAGATGCAGCTTTTTTTGGATCCCTCCACCAGCGTGGGTCAAGCTAGTCGTTGCATGGTGTACGGAGCGAACCCGGAAGAAGTTGGTCTTTTTATCAGAAGAATTCAATCTGGTTACCACCAGATGTGTGTAGATTCCAGTGTAGATTGGAAAGCTGCCCTCTGTTGCCATCCTGTTCCAGGAGCCAGGTGTATTCCATCAAAGCAATTTCTGCTTCGGTCCTGGCCTCATGTTGGGCCTTAAGGGGATTGACAACGCCCTGTGTTTTTTTCGGAGGCCTCAGGTGCCACAGAGGGGAAACTCTTCATCTTTGGAAGGTGCCACACCCCTCTACCACCTTTCTTTTAGAACGTAGCATTTTACACAACTTCGAGGTTCCTGAGGGTCGCCTTGAAGGCGCGAAGTGTGAAAAGTAGATCAACGGTTAAGGTTGGCCCCTTTTTTTGAAATCGAGACGAGAAAACGATACTTACCAGATCTGGAAAAATCTATGTCGAAAGGGGATATCGAACAGGAAGCCGAAGTAAAGCCGGGCCGACCTGCGACAGCGCGCCAGGTTTGTGCCATGGCTTTGGTTTTCATCGCCTTGGCTGGGGGAGTCCTTCTTGCCATCAGGCGGCGCCACGGCTCTGCCATGCTCTGCCTGTTTTTTTGTGCCTGTCCAGGTATCCGGCAGCACGACATCTTCGCGACGAGCTGCAGGTGGGCACTGGTTTGGCATTTTTGCAGTTGATTAGGTCATATTTTACCACACATGGTAATGATTGGTAATATTTTTTTTCTGGGTACATAGTTGATATGTGTTTTTTAAGCTAGTTTCATTGCAAGTTGGGATGAAACATGATTGAAACCAATGGTAATTTCTGAAATACACGCTCTGAACATGCTGCCCTTCTGAGAGGATCCAAGTAGTAAATTCTTCGCAAACGGATTCTATCCCTACTACAAACCTAGCCTATTTCATGGGTTTTAGCCGGTTTTAGCTGATGGAGTTGCTGTATGTTATGTCAGTTATGTCACCAAGAAAGTTTGAGAATGATTTTATAGTCAGTCCAATGTCATCAACCACTTCGATAGTGAAATGGAAATGGAGGTGGAAGAGCTCTCTCGAGCTGAAAGGAAGTTTGTAGAGAAATCACAAACTCCGTGGCTGAAGAGGTGCATATCACTCTCCTATGGCATTGAGATCATGGGATATTCCAGGTCACCGCTTGAATCCACATTTGAAGCGAGGCAATTTGAAAAGAAAATTCTGTTTGTTGGTCGTTTCCTTCGCGACTCCACACATTTGCCGACACATGCCAAATTTGGGGATGGGTCGAAACCTATCAGACCTAATCAGACCTATCACATATTTGGAATTAACATCCAGCACATCCAGCACATCCAGCACATCCAGCACAGGATGGCACCTGCCAGCTGACCGGTGCCGGCGTTGCAAAACGCCACTGGAGTCTGCTCCCGGCGGTGCAGTGCCCGGTGACGGTGCTGAAGGCCTGTGGGAGGAAAATGGGAGGAAAAATGAGGAAAATTAGATTTTAAAGCGCAGTTCTGTTTGTCAAAAATGATGGTTGCAATGGTTGAATTCTGCTGTAATCATTAGATTTCATTAATGGTAACATCGGCATATTTGTAGCGTCCGCTCCCAAAGAATTGAGGCTCAATTGGGTTTCTGATGGTTTCTGATCATCGGGATTCCACGTGATTCACCAGAAATGCCCGCGACACGCACGGTCTTCCCCTTGAGCACCGGCCGGCACAGGGTGATGAGACAGCAGAGGCGTTGATCTTTTCTTATCCGACAAAGTGGTTGGACAAGCAGTGACTCCAAGATCCAGGGATGTGGTAGAAAGGAGCACAGATATCACAGATTGGTCAGATGATGTCAGATGGCTGAGAGTCAATTGAAAAGTTTGACGCAGTTTCATGGATGTTTCATGTATCATCCTGACACATCCTGACAGATACCAATCTGCCAATCTGTGTTTGCACACGCTGCAGACGAGGTACCACCACCTGAAGTGTGAAGACTTAGTGAACTCCCTGGACAAGAGTGGTTTTCCCTGTGCCTCTTCGGGAAAGACGCTGTTGGAAGGCCACAAGGTGCCGGGATGATTCAAAAGAGGCTACTGAAAAGGAATTCAGACGAAAAGAATGATGAACATGTTTCAAAATGTTCCAAAATGTCACTGAGTCATAACTAGTCATAACCTACCCTAAAGTGTCGTAAAAATCGTAATATGTCTACGGAGTCTACGGAGTCTACTGGAGTCTACGGTTTTCCGATTTGAAAGCCCTATGGGACGATGTTCCTGTGCCCATTTTGTCGCCGTTGAGGCCGATCTACCCGTGGTTTTCCTGGAGCTGATGAATCTTCAGTGCGCTGAGTTGCATCTGCATCGTCGGTCGACTTTTCCTTCAAAGATCACAATGTTACAATGTTCTGTATGCATCTGTATGCAACCTTTGTGAATTTGATGTTTTGCGGTATCATTTTTAGGGCCCAATTTTGGCCCCAGAATCATATGAATGTTGGTGACATATGATTCTACAAGAAAATTGTATGATTCCCATCAAGAGCAACTCAAACTTAACTTGGGGCTGTGAGGGTTTGCACAACTGAAAGGGGATCCTAGCAGATGATCGCCTGCTGCGGCTCAAGTACCATGGTTTCACACTGGGTCAGGGCAAAGCCCTGACACATACGCTTTGAAATCTGACGGTGCCGGCTGACTGACATCAACTTCAGCTAAAAAAACCTTTACAATCTCTATGAAAAATTATCAAAGTGCTTTTCAGTTTTCAGCACAGAAACTGAGATCACTGAGATCAGATTTGATGAGACTCAGTGAGGCTTCTCCTAAGAGCTGTAGCTGGTGATCCGGGGCCCCGAGGGCCCGTGCAATGACACATGGCAACTCGAAGGCTGACCCGGTCGACCCAGCTTAGACCGGGCTGCTTGAAGTATTTTAAATCATGTTAGCAGCTTTGGGACCTGAATGATCTGATCTGAATGGCGCGGTTAATGGCTCCATTTTTGGGAAGGAACTCCTATCACAACGATCCGACGAGTGAAGTTTGGAGCCCGTCCAGTGAGTCAACTTAAAGATGGTTCCACAAAGATAATAGCTGCAGTGGAAATGGAGAAGGGGGAGAGGGCGATATAGAAATAGGAACAGGCACAGGCCGCAAGCTTGGTCCCGAATTCATTCGCTCTGATCTTTCCGAAGTCTTTCCGAAGTCTTTCCGAAGTCTTTCCGAAGTCTTTCCGAAGTCTTTCTTGTTACGTCTCTGTTGTGAGTCTCCGACATTCGAGCCTGGAGGCCAAGCCCAGAGTTGACCCAGGTGCTTCTGTGAGCCCGGTGATTTCGGTTTTTCTTAATACTTGAATATATGGATATATATGGTGATATGGTGTTGTTCTTTTCGAAAAGACAATATCGTGGCAAGTTCTGTTACCTTCAAAAAAAGTATTGAAATGGACAGAGACATGTTATTTTGAGTCACCATACAGAGTAGTTGTTCTTGCTGTTCCTTGTCACATTTTTGCCGATACATCCAAGTCGCCTTACAGTCCTAATCTCATCTTCGTTTTGGGTAGCCACACCAGCCACACTGCGCACGCGTCAGGTGACAACACAAGCAACGGCTACCCCGCGTTGGAAGACACACCAATTGGTGCCTCTTTCAGTCCCAGAGAGGGTGTGCCCCGACGCATTGGACTCACATTTGGACTTGGTGGAGAAGCCGTCACGTGGAGCCTGTCCTGTCAACCCAGGATATGGACGATGTATATGACAGCGAAGCGGTTGTGTGACTTGGCTCATAGAGATTCACTTTGCACACAGAACCAACCCGCCGAGAAACTTGCAGAAACCACATGGCCGCGGCAAATAGAAAGGGAGAAAGAAAGTGACCCTAGAATTGGGATCTGGGCTTACATGTGATGATTTTGAGCCACGAAAAACATTGACATACCAAAGTGTGTAATTCCGAAGATGTCATATCTGTGGCAGGCCTCATCCATCGAAAGCTGCTCCTTGGCCTTGGCAAAGTATTGATGTTTTGAAGAAAATGATGAAGTTGTATACGAAGTTGTTGGGTTTGTCGGGTGCGCCCAAGGAAGCGCCAAGGAACCAGAAAAAGTATGTTTGTTTTGCTGTTCGTTCCCTTGGATCGTCCTTTCCTTTGGCTCCGCCTCCAAGGATAACTTGGATGATGCAGGAGGTCCAATCTTCGGAAAGATCGATCAGTTGACACAACCAGAAGCTCCAGAAGCCTGTAGTCACTGTAGTCACACTGTAGTCACACTGTAGTTATTGTATTCGAAGCTGAAATTCTTTGGGTTTTCCAGCTGTCATCTGACTCCGACTCCGCCAGGACACAGTGTGACTTTCACCTGCTTTGGTGGTCTAGAAGGCGAGGTCGAAGGCGAGGTCATGAGATCTCGATCTCGATTCGACGTTTAGCACAGTTGTGCACTGTTTTGCCATTGTGAAACCTTTGAAATTCCAGGGCATCTCTTGGAAATGTTGTAGTTGTGGAAGGCTTTGCCCTTTGCCACTAGAATCTCTTTAAGCATCTTTAAGCTAAGCCTGTTTGATTTGTTTGTGTAGAGAGCTACTTTCATTTGTGTCCCCCGATCACCTGGCTTTTCGTTAGGGAAGCCAGGTGGTTTTTTGCTCAGGCGAAGATCTTCCCACTGGGCGCTTCGCTCCAGGTACCCCCGGTCTCTCAGAACTTGCCCCCTGGCAGAGGAACAGCGACAGAAAGGAATGGAAAGGAACGGAAAGGAACGGAAAGGAACAGACGTAGATGTGACTTGACACGCACCGTGCACGCCATTGCCATGCTAAGGATGAGTTTGGGACCATGGAGGATGAATCAGGCTGGTCAGATGACAAAGATGTAAACAGATTTAAACTATCCATTTGGGTTTGCAATGGTTTGCAATGGTTTGCCATGGTTTGCATGAAAATTAGGCTAGTTTCAAGTTCAAGTGGCAGAGAGTGGCAGAGAGTGGAAGAGGGCAAAAAACAAAGGCATGGACGAGTTTCTGCAGATGTGATGACCCAGGCATAGGTGATGCAACTGGTGCATCTGAGCCGGGCTCTCAGAAACAGACAGTACTAAGTTGTACCGAGTTGTACCGAGTTGTGTTTTGAGATTTTTGAGCGACTCAGCACATGTGGTGCTTCGGAAAGCGAAGAATAACAGCTGCGAAAAAACGGCGGTCTACGGGCCAAATGGCGCCAGGCCAACAAGCCCTGTCAGCTGTCAAGCTCTACCAAGCGGCAATTCGACCAGGCAGTTGCCATCGGTTGCCATCGGTTGCCATCGGTTGCCATCGGTTGCCATCGGTTGCCATCTCCGCTCAACACTTGCTGGAAATACACCAATCATATCCAAATCATATCCAATCATTACTCCCGTAGCATGATTGCAGGAGCCTTGAGCACAATTCGTGCCTTGGTTTGGGGCAACCCAATTTTGACCCATGCCGAAGGGAGTAGTTCGGTTCATTTGAACATTCATAATTTGTGTCGGCGAAGAAACTAAGGAAGACACGTAGACGATGCAAAACTGAACTGTTCCAATCACCATGGCCTGAGTTTTCGTGAAATTGTCCCGGACTGTGGATCCATTGGTTATAGCATGTTATAGCCATGGACCCATTGGTATCCAGTTGGATTTGGGTAAGTCCAGGTTCACCGCTGCAAACCTCTTCGTCCCTAGGACTACCAAAAGCGTGGAGAACTCCTGTCTATCTAAAGAGAGTATTGTTAGCCTGACCAACTTAAAGATGCTTGGCCTTTAGAGAGATCTTCTGCGACCAGTGCATTTTGCCAGATACATGTGTAAGAGAAACGCGATACAATCAATTACCTTGCAAAGTGAAGTTTGCTCGTTGCATTTGAGCTGCATTGAAGTGTTGAAGCATCGACCGACCAATAGGAAAAGCCACATGTCAGAACATTTGGAGCATTGCAAAGAAGTCGCCTTCAAGCAGCGGATGCGAACCAGCGGATTTTTGTGTGCCCTGGGACTTCTCTTTGTGTCTGGACTTGCATTCTTTGCAGTTTTCACGTGAAAGAGAACAGCACAGAACACTGGTGAATACTGGGCCCGCTCTGGGAGTGGAAACCTCTGGTGGGACTCGTAGTTTGTCAATGTTTGTCATAGGTGATATAGTTTGTTTATGTTTTGTCAATTTTTGTCATATGTTTTGTCATATGTGTTTGTTGATGTTTGTTGATGTTTGTTGATGTTTGTTTGTGCGTCTTCAGGTCCTTTCTGGAGTAGGAGTGGTGCTTGCAACTCTCCGAGTCAACCTTGGTGAGGGTCACCGGGCAGCATCACGGCGAAGCGCATCAAGTTGCATCAAGTTGCATCAAGTTGCATCAAGTTGCATTGCTCGATGTGAAAAATGCTCAAAGAACAGCGTCAGATGCCTAGCAGAATACCATCAGCATCGCACTGCACTGAGTTGTGATGATCCGCGCTTTGGCGGTGGCATTTCTGCTCTTCGGTCTCGTTTCCTTTCTCTTGGCTCTGCTGCCAACCGATCGACGAGCAGTCCCAGCAGCTTAGCAGCGCCTGGTGCCTGGTGCCGTTCACCTGTTGTTCACCCGTCACCCGGAGCCCAGGTGGCCGCCTGGACCCTTTTTGTGTTCTTCCTGTTATTTGGAGGCAGGGACCATCAGGGACCAAGTTACACAAAGTCACACCCTTCACACATCTTCACACCTTTGTGCCCAACAACTCCCGCAGAAAAGAAACATGTCACAATGATTTGCAGCAACAT